AGACTAGAAGGACCAAGAAAGGAGGCAAAGAAAGAATAATCAGTGAGGAAGCTAGAAAACTAAGTATCAATGAAAGCCTAAGGAAGAAAATATTTCAAGAAAGAGAAACGAATATTCAATGTGTAAAATGATTCTAAGAGACTGAGTAATTGAGGACAGAGAAGAGATCACTGTTTTGGCAGGAGTAAAGCTGTGGGGGACCGTGATAAGTGTTTCACTAGAAAGGTAGGGATGAAAACATTACTGGAGGGCGCCTGGGTGGTTCAGTGGGTTAAGTGTCTGCCTTTGGCCCGGGTCATGACCTTGGGGTCCTGGAATCAAACCCTAAGGCAGGCTCCCTGCTCAGCGGGTGGTCTGCTCCTCATTCTCTCTCTGCTTGCCCCCTCCCACGCCATGCTTAAAAAAAAAACACACCAAAAAACCAACAAAAAAACATTACTGGGGTGGCTGAGGGGATAATGTGAGGTAAAGAAGTAGATATGAGGAATAGAGGCCACTCTCTCAAGGAATTTTGAAGGAAATAGAGAAATAGAGCTGTATCTGGAGGAAGGCTGAGGGAGATGTCAAAATAATTTTTAACCACATATGTTCAATAACCTAATGATATGCCAATAGGACTGTTCCAGTAATAAGGGAGAAAATGATGCTTGTGGGAGAGAGGCTGGGAAAACTGTAAGATGGAACATGAAGCTGAAGTGAAACTATACATTGTTAATATTCAAATCTTTTTTTTTTTTTTTAAGATTTTATTTATTTATTTGAGAGAGAGAGAATGAGAGAGAGAGCACATGAGAGGGCGGAGGGTCAGAGGGAGAAGCAGACTCCCTGCCAAGCAAGGAGCCCAATGCGGGACTCGAACCCGGGACTCCAGGATCATGACCTGAGCCGAAGGCAGTTGCTTAACTGAGCCACTCAGGCGCCCTAATATTCAAATCTTTATCTCCAGCTTCAAACTCCTAATCATGGTTGCTATGCCCGTGTCATCCAGCCCCTGTCTACTTCTCTAGCCTCATTTTGTACAACTTTCCTTTCCCTTCCTGCACTCCAGCCATACAGGCCTTTAAAGAAATTGTTATTTCTTCTGCCAGGTATGTATCTACCTCAGGGCATCTGCATGGGCTTTTTATTCTCTCATTTTGTGAACTGTTCCTAAGAGAGTTCTAGGGCTTACTTATTCTCACAATTCTGGTCTTGGCTCAAATGTCAGCTCTTCAAAGAGGTGTACCCCTGACCACCTTAGCTAAAGCTGCACCCCACCTTGCCAGTCATCCTAAAGTCTAGTCTATCACATTTCCCTTTCTGATTAGCACTTACATCAATATTTGGTGGGAGTTGGGAAGGAGGAGAAGAGTGCTTTAAGTCAAATAGTAGATTGATGTTTTAAACTGAATTGGACAGAGTTTTTCAGGAACTGGAAAGGGGCTGTCCTAATAGCCAAAAGTGACAAAAGTTACAGAACTGAATTAATTGCACAATTAGTAGTAGTGATTAAAAAAATAAAAGCATTTCATATTTATAACCTTATCTCTGATCTAATCTCTATCTCTCCCCTGAATTCCAGACTTAATGAATTTTTATTTTTTATTTTTTTAAAGATTTTATTTATTTATTTGACAGAGAGACAGCGAGAGAGGGAACACAAGCAGGAGGAATGGGAAAGGGAGAAGCAGGCTTCCTGAAGAGCAGGGAGCCTGATGAGGGGCTCGATCCCAGGACCATGACCTGAGCCAAAGGCAGACGCTTAACGACTGAGCCACCCAGGCGCCCTGACTTAATGAATTTTTAGCTCACACCTTCAGTTAGAAGTTCAATTGGCATCTCAAATAAACATATGCAATCCAGAAATCTGGATTCCTTGAGCTTTTTCCTCCCCCAGTCTTTTTTGGCACCTCTTAGTTCCACAGGCCAAATAATCCAGGAGTAATCTGATTCTTCTTCTCTCAACCTCTCATCCAATCCAATTGGAAGTCCTGTTAATCTAACACCCAGATAAATCTCAAATCCATCCACTTTCCTCCATTTCTATTGCTGTTTTACTAGTTTAAACCACAATTATCTTTCCTTTGAGCTGGGGAAAATCTGGGCTCCCAGCTTTGGCTCTTGATCCCCTCAGAGTCCTACTAAACTTTTGAAAATGTAAACCAGATGATGTCTCCTGCTTAAAATCTCCCAATGGCTTCCCAACACCCTTAGATATTAATCCAGCTCTTGCCACGTCCTACAAGTCCCTAAAGAACTTGGCCTTATCTATCTGTCTAACCTTTTCTCCTCCTACTCTCCTCCTCTTCATTCACTGTGTTTTGGACATACTGACTTTCCTATCTTGAACATATCAAGTTCAAGGACTTTAAACCTGTTGTTTTTACTCTGGGAATGTTCTGCTCCTAAATCTCGGCATGACTAGCTCTTTCCTGTAACTCAGCTCCAACATTCTCTACCCAGGAGGCCACCCACAGCAGAAATACCTAAAATAGCCCCCTCCATTCTAGGTCACTTTCTTAGGCCATTACATTATTTTCCTTGTAGCTCTTAATACTTCCTGAATTGTGTTATTTATTCAATTATCTATTGTTTATCTATTTCTCCCATTTAAATGTAAGCCCCGTAAGAATAGGGACCTTGTTCTGATTTTATATTTTTCAACACTGTGTCCCCAGCACTGTGTCCCTGGAATCTATTATTCTAGCCAGTTAATAGAAACTCAGTAAATAAATATTTGTTGAATGAATGCAATTGTATACTGGCAGTTTCTAGCATGTCCAGCCCAGAGGTATAGGCTTAGCGTAAAAAGTACCTGGATTCCAGATGAGGGAATTCTTACTAGTTCTTCACCTCCTGCTAATGGCCCCAAACTTTCTCCCATTTCAGTTTTCCCTATCTCACTTGTCTTTATATCTTGGCATACTCTGTGTCTGGCTTCATGTTTGGATTTTGAAAATAAGTTTTGGACTGTTTCCCATGGTTCTGACTGGGAAGCCTGGTATGACTATCCCTTGGTAGTTGTTCTTTTCTCTGGTGTAACTGCACCAAAATCATGGGCAAGACATCCCCTTAACAGCCTGCCCAGATCCATGGCAAATGGGCTTACCAGCCCCCTGCCCATCCATAGAGTAAAATGAACACCTGTTTCTGTTGCGAAGGTTTACAGCAGCCCAGCTCAAGGACGACGAGGAAGGCTGCCTCAGGTAATATGAATGTGGTTGTGAGATCTCAAGGGGATATTCAGTCACTGAAGTGCCTTGCCCAGACTCTGGAATTTATGCCCAACTGGATGCCATGAGAAGTTTTATTTTTCAAACTTTGCTTAATTTTTAAACTCGGTCTCTGGAAGCTGGCAGAGAGGCTACTGTGTCTGAAGAGGCAACACTTATCTTTAGGAAATTTGAGGGCTTTTGCCATGAAGAAGCAGTCTTTCATTGTCCTTGGGAGACAGTCCCCAAGTGGAGTCCACCCCTCTTCCAGCCCATCCTGCATACCATACATAGTGCACCCCCCTTTCCTTCCTCGTTTCTTCCAGGCACCTTCCTGATACCTCCTTCCCTTCTTACAGATGTTAGAAGCAAAGCACTTACTACATTTCCTTTTTACTTAAAATAATAATAAACGACATTTGCAAACATTATGTACTAAGCAATCAACTAATCCCACAGTCCTAAGATCTGGAGGTCATTGATTTCTACGGATAAGAAACAGACTCACAGAGTTTAAGCAACTTTGCTTTGGGTCACCCAACTAGTAGGTGTTCCGAATCAGGAGCCCAAGATCTTACTCCCTCATCCCTCAGCTTACTAACTGCGGACGGTTCACTCATCACCACAGGGCAGGGTGCCAGCCCCTGGGGATACAAAGCGGGTGAGGAAAGGACCCCACTGCCACAAGGCAGTAAAGGAGACAGAAGAGGACACCCCGCCCCCAAAGAAAAATAGCGGACTGGGCGGAATAAGAAGAATCTGGACGCGGTACAAAGGCAGCTCACAAGAAGGGAAGAACTCAGACCCAGAAATCAGAAAGGCAAAATGGCAGTAGCCGCCGACCTAGGTGACAACTGCAGGGCTGCGGCCAAACCGTGTCTGCCCACATCGGGGGAATGGCAGCTGCCGCCCCAGGAAGGGGAGGAAGGCGACGGGCCTCAGGAGACCCGTGCCACGTAGAAGCCGCCCGAATGGCCCCGGGGGCGGCTGCCAACCGAACACTGTCGCCGCCGCGCCGCCGAGAAGAGCCGCAGGGAGGGGACAGGCTCCTGGGTCGCGTCGCCGGCCGGCCGTCCCCCCCGGCCCCCGCCCCGGCCGGACAGTCCCGACTACCGACGCCCGGGAGGGTCGGGGCTCCGGGGAAGCGCGCGCTCGGCCGCCCTCCCCGCCAGGCCCGACTCCAGACGCCCGGGACCGGGACAGGGCTCTCGAGGGGCGCCCCCAAACCCGACGCCCGGTTGCCGGGCGCGAGGGGCTCGGCCCCTTGAGGGGCCGCGGCGCGGTGCTGGCAACGGGATAAAAGAAAAACACCGGCTTGAAACAAAGGCCTACGCGGTCTAGGGGCAGAAGCGGGGAAAGCCTTTACCTCATGGTGGTTGGGCGCTGCGGGCAGTCCCCTCGGGCTTTCTCCTCAGGACTGGGATCCCCGCCTGCGGAGCGGCGGGGCGCGCGCGCGGGCGGGCGTGTGCGCGTGCGCGGGGAGTGCGGGTGGGCGGTGGGCGCTTCCCGCGGGGCGGCGGCGGCGCGAGGTCGCAGCCCAGGCGTTGGCTTTGTTAAACGCAGGACCAGAGCGGCAGAAGGGAGCTGGAAAGTGAATCTGATCTCGGACTAGGCAGAGTCCAGCTCCAGGAAACGGAAACTTCTGCAAGAGCTGAGTGGGGCCCCGGCCCGGCTGAGAAGCCCCCGGGGGGCGGGGGGTGCACGTTTACAGAGCTCTGGGTGGTTCTGTGTGGAATTTGCAGCTGGCCCTCTGGACTTTGGCCCGGGCTCTCACCTGTCTCGCTAAGCCTGCGTGGCGCTCGAGCAACCTCATTTATTTTTAAATAAAACGACAGGAGATTGTTTAGCGTTATTTTTGTTGTAAGGGTGGCAGCGATGCTCTTTCCAGCTTTCTGCATCCTAAGCTGAAACTGAAGTCCTGCTTCCCGTCTTCATTGAAAAAACAGGTACAGCGCTATACACTGGTGCCGTTATTTCCGTTGCGTAAATTTAAGGAAATTTTTGGGTCAAAATGTATATACATTTTAAAAGTTGATAGGTATTGCCGAATAGCTTTGAAAAGAGGTTGATACACTTCCACTCACAATAGTGCTTGTTTTCTGTGCCCTTACCACCGCACTCACCAAATAAGATTCTAGTAAGGATGGGGGTGGTATTGGGAAGCTAAGCAGAAAATGCCAAATATCAATAAACCTAGATTTTTGTTCCCCTTGAATTCAATCATTCATTCAGTCAACAAATTATATTGGACAACTGCTAAGAACCAGACATTGTTCAAAGCACTGTCAATATAGTAATGAGAAAACAGACAGAGGACCTACTTTTATGGAGTTATCTTCTAGTGTGGGAGATAAAAATAATAAAGAACAAATGAAACATGTATCAGATGGTGCTATGGAGAAAAAGCACAGAGGCTTGGAGTGCAGTGTGTTTTGCTAGTATAAATCTGTTGGTAATAGCTAAATAGCTGGTTTCACTGAGAAAGTGGCAACTGAGCAAAAATCTGAAGTGGGTGAAAGTGAGCACTGTAGATATGAAACTAGGGAAGAAAGTTCCAGCATGGGAAACAGTAAGTGCAAACCCCTGGAGGTGGAGCATACTTGGCATGCATGGATGGTGTGGTTGGAATGGGAAGAGCAGGGGAAAAGTCATAAGAATTGAGATCTGAGAGGTAATGTGGTGGGCCTGAAGGCTATCGAAATGTTTTTCTGAAGCAGGAAGCCACATTTTAGAAAAGGTACTGAATGGTTTAGTGTGGGGAGAAAAATAAACCCAGAATTTCCTCCTTACTAAGGCTTTAAAAAATTTGATAGTGCTCCAGTGTTTGAAAAAATTTTCAGTGTGTTTATCATGTTTTTTCTTCCTTGTTCCCACTTCTTTCCCTTCCTTTCTCTTAGCTGTATCTGGGCCAAGAGATTGTCTTTGCTTATTCAGGTTTAAATGAATAGCAACTAAGCAATCAGAGGTAAACATCGAAGGAAAAAGAAATCTTGGTTATCTACTTATTTTGTTAAGAATTCAAATTCAGAAAGACAAAAACTATCTGTAAAGAATTTAAAGAATATACATTTTCAGGATGAGGAAACGACGTGTTGAGTGGGTGTTGAACATGTTGAAATCATTAGATGGAATTTATATATCAATCTTTCTTTTCACAGAAAGTTGGATTGAGTGCGTTCTTGGGAAAATCAGTAGTGCATTGTCTTTTGAATTTATTCTTTTTAAAAATATTTTATTTATTTATTTGACAGAGAGCGCGCACAAGAGAGCGCACAAGCAGGGGGAATGGTAGGCAGAAGGAGAGGGAGAAGCAGGCTTTCTGCCAAGCGGGGAGCCTGATGCGGGGCTCAGTCCCAGGACCATGGGATCATGACCTGAGCTGAAGGGCAGACACTTAACCAACTGAGCCACCTAGGCGCCCCTTGAATTTATTCTTATCAAGATGTAAAACATAGCAACTAGAGAAAAAGGAAATAGAAAGTGAAACATGGCAACTGATCTAAAATCTGCTTGAGAAACCGAAACTTAAGGGGCGCCTGGGTGGCTGCGTGGTTAAGCGTCTGCCTTCGGCTCAGGTCATGATCCCAGGGTCCTGGGATGTCATGATCCCAGGGTCCTGGGATCGAGCCCCGCATCAGGCTCCCTGCTCTGTTCAGCGGGAAGCCTGCTTCTCCCTCTCCCACTCCCCCTGCTTGTGTTCCTGCTCTCGCTAGCTCTCTGTCAAATAAATAAATAAAATCTTTAAATTAAAAAAAAAGAGAAACTTTAGTAATAACTCCTCTAAGAAAGAGATGTAAGGCAGAGTTTCTCAACCTTGGCAACTATTGACATTTGGGCTGGATAATTCTTTGTTGTGGGAAGCGGACTAGTGATGTTTAAGAGGCATCCTTAATTATAACCACTAGATGTCAGCAGCACCCTGCAGTTGTGACAAAAAAAAATTATCTCCTTGTGTTGGCAAAAGTAACTTCTTTTTTTTTTTGCTCTGAGGCCCCAAATCCTCTCCCCTTTTGTGCCCCTCCCCCAGGAATCACTGCTATAAATAATACCCTCATGTATATACCTAATTTATTTGAATTAGTTTTCAGAGCACAGCCTGAATGACATAGGAGGTGGACTTCAGGTGGGAAAGGAATGGTTGAATACAGATAAAGGGCAGTTGGGGATGGTACTGGAGTTCAGGAGGAGACCTGTGTGAAAGGGTGGATATCAAGGGGAATGTCCCAGAAGGCCTCCTCCCTTCAGCATGGACTCCACAGTGGAGGTGGCTATATCACATTTGGCCTGGCTGGGGACAAGCTACAGAGCTGTGGACTCAGACTGAGGGTGAGTCATTCAAGCTGGGCAGGCCACAGGTAGGGGCCCTTAGTCCCAGTGCGGTTCCAGTTCTCACATCATAATAGGAATGGAGACATTGGTGGCTAGGGTGATCTCCAAAGAGCTGGAGCCTGCAGTAGCGTGTAGACCGCAATTAGCAAAGACCTGGGCTGGAGTACTCAACAATAGTGAATGGCAGGTGCTGTAGCTTGGCCTGATTTAGGGGCACTTGGAGAAATTCTGGAGCGGGGGTAACTAAGGACACCAATGAGGTCCTGTCAGTCATTTGCATGGGAGTAACAAGCTCGTGAAGTTCAGCTGTCAATTTAAAGAGACCACTTGTTAATGCCTGGAGATATTCATGTGTAAGGCTGGCAATAGCATTTTTTTTAAAAGATTTTATTTATTTAGGGGCGCCTGGGTGGCTCAGTTGGTTAAGCAACTGCCTTCGGCTCAAGTCATGATCCTGGAGTCCCGGGATCGAGTCCCGCATCGGACTCCCTGCTCAGCGGGGAGTCTGCTTCTCCCTCTGATCCTCCCCCTCTCATGCTCTCTGCCTCCCATTCTCTCTCTCAGATAAATAAATAAAAAATCTTTAAAAAAAAAAAAAGATTTTATTTATTTATTTAGAGAGAGCACGTGAGTAGGGGGGGGAGCAGAGGGAGAGAGAGAGATCCACTCTGAGCGTAGAGCCCAACGCGGGGCCGGATCCCACGACCCCAAGATCATGACCCAGGCAGAAATCAAGACTTGGGCATTTAACTGACTAAGCCATCCAGGCACCTCTGGCAGTAGCAATTTCAATACTAAAGAGCATCTATTTTCCTAGATTTGCTGGTTGTTGTCATTCTCTGCAGACATCCAAGCTGTCCCACACTTTAGTGTTACTGAGCTCTGAGAAGTGCAGAGATCTCTCCCAGAGTAGGGAGGGATGGGATAGAGAGATGGTATTGGGTTATAAGACACTCAAGTAACCGTAATCTCTGGAGATTGTCGAACACACCTCACACCAAACATATCACATAATCCAGGGATTAATTTTCTGGGTGCAAGTGATGTATAGCAATACCTGGGAAGAATTGCCTAATAAAGAATTGACTAATTATCCAACGATTATGTACCTTCAATATTTCTCACTCTGGGAGAGTTGGCAGCGGTTAAACTCATTTTAGTGCCGCACAGCATGCTTCCCCAAACACAAGCACTAAAATATCATTCTTGTTAAATAAAATAGATCTCTTGTTTTAGTGATAAAGAAGTTGGGAAGATGGCTTCTACCTGACTCTGACGCCTGCCCTCAATGATATAAAGTTTGCTTCCCTGCAATTTCTGTAGAATTCCAGTAGAAATCCAAAACTCTACCAGATATTTCTGTTAATTCCTTGGGGATTTATAATCTTGTAGATTAGGGATCCCTACCAGGGAATGTAGGGAGCTTCTAGAAGCTGGAAAATGTACAAAAAGGATTGTCCCCTAGAGCCTCTGGAGGCAGTCTGGCTCTGCCAGCACCTTGATTTCAGTCCAGTGAAACCTGTTTCAGACTTCTGACCTCCAGAACTGTAAGATGATAAATTTGTATGGTTTTAGACTACCAAGTTTGTGGTAATTAGTTATAGCCACACTAAGAAATTAATACATCCTCCCCCAAATCAAATACAAAAATGAAAAAACAGTAACATTGTTTTTTTTTTTCCTTTTAAAAATATTGCTTGGTGTGCAATGTCTTTTAATAAAATGTCGTAATCAAAGGTGACTGCTACTGATGGTCTCTCAGATCATATAGCAACCTTTTCATGTTTCTTGATCAATACCAGCAAATGACTGAATTCATAGTGCTTCAAATCAAATGACATAAAACAAGAGAAATGCTTGGAACAGTTCGACAAATTAAATTCCAAGCTTCTTTTTGGAGAAAGCTGACTTTTAATTGACTGCATACTTGTTTTACTGTTTTTCTCACTGGATTATAAGCTGCACGAGGTCTGGGGAAAATGCTTTCTTCACTGAAGTTAATTACCTCAGTCAACTTGATGTAGACCACATCTGTCCATTCCGAGTTCCTAGAAGAATGCGCTGGCTCTCCTGACATCTTATGACCACAGTATAGTTTAGATCCATGTATTCATTTCCAAACACAACAAATCAAGATTACCTAAATAACAAGAATCCCACTCCCTAAGTATACTGTAATTATAGAAGTAGGTAGTAAAACTCTCTAAGCAAAATGGGAGCATAGAAATGGAGAGTAGAACTACTTAAGGGAACAAAGGAAAGGGGACCATGGCCGGGCTGACCCACTATGGGAGCCTATGTTCACTTAAAGGGAAGAGGGGCTATTAGACAAACCCTGTTCTACATGGAGGTAAGCAAACCTAAGGCATTAGAGAGAAGCTCTTAGGCCTGTTCCCTTGACAGAACTACCTGATGGTAGGGGATTCCTCAGACATAGACCATCTCACTTCTTAATAGGGCTGTGTGCTCTGCGTTGTACAAGAGGGTAAAGCTCCATCCCAGAACAATCATTGCCAGATATGGGACGAATGAGACATTTTTTCCTGAGAGCCCCTTCGCTCCTCCCCAGCTTGGGCACAGTAAGAAATATTAAGACATTTCACCTTCATTTGCTTTT